CCCTCCAAGGATGTCAGAACACTTCCTGCCCTCAGCAAATGTGCCCTAAAAAGTACAATATAAAATTGTTATTAAAAATATAGAAAACAACATCCTGAAATGAAAAAGAAATAATTACAATTCATGTATCTTACACTTTTAATTATAGAGAATTTCTTCTTATAAAGTTCCCTGATAATGATCTTGTAATTTAATATCAAATTCTTTATCAATGTTTAGAGGGACTGGATCTGCTGAAGTCCCATGATTTACACTCACCCACATCAAGAACAACAGAAAAAACAGCCTCTACAAAATGCTGACCTCTACTCCTTACCAAGGAACAGACAGGTACAGGAAACTGTCTTAGCAACTGCTCCAAGACCTGACAACTTACACCAGAATTGGACTGCTTAGGGAATTTATTTCAGCTACTCTTTGAGTCACAAGCTCCCAGCTATACTACAGGAGGATGTGTTTTGGCAAGCATCACTTAGACTTCTATTAAGCAAAGCAGGAAGAAAAGAGGGAATAAGAGAAGAAGCATGCTGCAGGAGGGAAAGGGACAAATGGCTGAGCAATGAAAGGAAAACTAGTCTCACTTCTGATTGTTTTATCAAAAAAATGACGAGCATCATTTGGATTCTCTCACCAGGCAGAGATAACATCTCTGTTAAAATCAAACACAGCAGCATCACTGTGAATGCCAGCAGACATTAGTAGGCATAAAAAATGAATAGCTTGTTCCCCATCAGCTCCTCCGTTCGCAGGACCAGAACTTCTTTATTTGCTGTATCATGCCGAGATGTTTAAAAGGAAGGTGTTCCTCACATGTTTCTTCTCAAAAACATTTTTAATGTGGATTGATTTGGGGTAGAGAGTCTGAGGATTTTAAGCACAATCCAGACCATGTAATCCACAGGGAACCACCGCTCCTGCAGACTGTCAGCAGCTGTTGGTAGTGCCTAGAGCTGATTAACCAGCTTGTGACACTCCATGTGTGACTTCTTAGCATTTATAGTTCTAAATGAAATAAACAGCAGCAAACTATCCGCAGGAAAACAGCCTTAATATCTTCCACAAGTCCTCTAATGTACCAGGGCTACAGAGAAGTATCTTTGTTTCTTACAAACGTGAGTTACTAGCCATATCAAGAAGTGAATGTCTCCAACCCTGCAGCAGGCATGACAGCCTCCAAATCCCAGTGGGTGGCAAAAGAACTTTTTCCCTGTTTACAAACAAAAAATCATTGCTTCAAAGAAGCCAGAGTAAAAATGAGAATGGACATGGCAGGCTCCTTCAGGGAGTCTGGATTACCTGGCAGTGACACTGGAGACCAGGACAGGCAGAGAATCGTTGTCATTCCAGGAGAAACACCTGTTCAGTTGTTTTGTTGGAGCACTGACTTTAACATTTTTGCTAGAAAACCTTAGGAAGTGGTGGCATTTTGAGTAGCTGGCATAGCTAAAAAAGTAGTATCATTGGGAAGAATGGAAGAACTGTATCAGCTGGCTGGATACGCACGCTGGCCTGTCAGCGATCTGATCTACCAGGGGAAGCTCCTATTTTTCTGGCCAAATTTATTCCTATAAAATATGGGCCACTCAGAGGCAACAGTGCAGGAAGAATTCCCCATGCTGTCATTGCAGCACAGTTCAGAGAATCAGAGAGTACCTCAAGTTGGAAGGGACCCATACGGATCAAAGCCCAACTCCTTGCTCCTCAAGTACTACCCGAGACTAAATCATGCGACTTAGAACGTCATCCAGACACTCCTTGAACTCTGACAGGCATATCAAGATTAACAGAAATAGGAAAGGCCCTGGCAGCATCAAGTAGTCACTAGCACATCTTGTTTCGCAGGATCACAGCTTTGAGGCTGGAATGATCTTTGTCTGGCTTTAGAAGAAGATACGAAAAAGGATCCAAACAGGTAAAGCATGTGTCAGCGCTTTAACCATACAAGTTAATACAAGCTTTTCCTAATTCTTTGAATGATTTGCCTGTAAAAATCAACAGTGCACAGCAACAAATCCATATTGTGATACCGTCCAAAGAAATGAACACCCCAAAAGAACTCCCTCATCTCTGACAGACAAAGGCTTATCACCCCGAGGAAGAGGTTAAGAAGTTATCACAGTTACAACCAGCCCAAGGAAGCAGGTACAGGAATCAAAGCCAGTTCAGATTAGCAGCAGGGTGAGGGGGATTATCCAAAGCTAAGCACAGGGTGAAATCCCTCATACGGACTCTATTAACTAAAAATGAAATCTAAGAGCAAAGGTAAATCATTACAGGCATTTCAGAAGCCTTAGTCACATGCCTCCAGAATACTGCCTGTAAAACCACTGGCAACACTGAAAACATGGTAAGGGGGAAAAAAGGCTTGCGAAGAACATGAGGTGGAAATTCTATCACAAAGAAACAGCTCCACCCTATGTTTGAGCAGCGGAGGTATTTGTTCAAACTTACCTCCCAAACGTACATCTAGGGGACATCCAGCTACCACAATCCATAGAACAATGGTCAAAAAGGCATCTCTGCTCTGGAGTTATTTTTTCCACTCCAGTGTTTGCAGTATTACTGGCGGTAATAACTATGCTCTCCACAAAACAGATGTTGTGTCATGACCTCTTTACTCTTCCAGGCTGAATTCAACGCCAGCAGTGAATTTTCTAGTGACAAAACAATGTTATGTTCAGCTGCAGTATTTTTCCACCTAATTCACAGCTGCAGGGGAAAAAAAATTTCCAACCAACCAGTCAGAACCCTTCATAAATTGCTCAGAGTTACGAGGGAACTAGTTTTACATAGCATATTTCAATTCGGGTGACAGAATCCATTTTTTATTGGAAAAATATATTTGCTTAACACCTCCTGGCTTTGATCCTTCCTTTTCCAGACTTGACTTCAGCACCAGATGATTTGTGCAACTTAGGAACTTAAATTCGTGCCCAAGGTATTTTTAAAATGATTAGTGTTTTCTTTTTCTTTGCTGTGACCGCATGAACACCTTTCCACCTTGAACACTAACTTTTAAGTCCAGAATTAGGTAGTAAAGTGGAACTGATGGTGTCTAAACCTTGTTCTGAATTGCCATACATGGGCTTTGCTCAAATAATACTCCACTCAGTGCAAGGGTAAGCTGGAATGCTATAGGACAGCATCAGGGCACTCTTCACACTCCTTCCTTTCCCAGGAAGGAGCCATGAAGGAAGCGAGAGTCTGAAATATTCCTGCCTTCAATAAAGTTACAGGCAAAACTCTGCATTCCTCTCCCTAGCTCTGTTCTTCCCTTTTTGAAGATATCTCACCAAAGCGTGGTATGAAAACCAGAACATGATTTTTATTTACTGGCCAATTGGAACTACTCATACATCTTCACTGTGCTTAAGGACTGCTCTTAATTTTTTCTTCTTTTTGACACAGCTTTAATTATTTCAGTCTTCTGAAACGGGTCACATATATAACACATCTGTCCTCTTGGTTATATTCCTTTCCATTTCCTCAGTTCAAGGTGGCATACAAATTTGGAAGTAAGTCATGCTGAACACAGACCCATCTGTGAACCACAAAACCTACCTAGCAAATCAACACCATCAAATGCTCGCTTCCCACAGTCAAAGCAGAAGTCTGACAAAACCAAACAGAAAACCAGTGTTGTTTTACCTTGCCCCACAATTACAGCAGGAAAAGCAACCACCCCACTCCAGCTGCATGAGAAAGTGCAGACTCATCAGATTCTGTGAACACTTACTACAGCAGCATGTGGTTACAGACATCCCACTGAACTGGGTGGGTTCCTCCTCCTAGACCACAGCAAGGTAGTGTATGAACTACAGTTCAGATCCATTAACTGAAGAGAACAACCATCTTTCTGTGGAGGTAATCCAAAATGCAACAGAGATAAGCACTTCCTATCACTGATTTGTTCAGATCCCCCAGCTGGTAGCACTTTTGAGCATGCTGTGTGCTTAGCTTCCATGGCCCAGCTGTACCTCAGATGTGGAGGGCCTCAAACTTCATTTTAAGCTTACAATGAAAAAGAACTACGTTTACATAGCAGCATCAGAATGCAAATGAGTTATGTATTTTGTGCTGAACAAAATCATTGCATCTCAGCAGATCTATTGATGGACTGATATGGTTCATGAAGACTCCAGTCCTCTCTCATCCATATTAAAATAAGGGTAATTAAACCACAAAAAAACTGTGATGTTCAAACAGCAAGACATACAACATCTGCAAAAAGAATTTTAAAGTTTAGATCCAAGCACTCTCCAGAATCCAGCTGAGTTCAAGGTACTCACACTCAGGACATCCTCCATCTGAACTCCACCAACACCTCTTATGGATGCCAGGCTGGACGAGGCCTTGGGTGAGATGGTTTAGTGTGAGGTGTCCCTGCCCCTGGCAGGGGAGATGGAACTGGATGATCTTAATGTCCTTTTCAACCCTGACTATTCTATGATTCTATGATGCTAGACTATGGTCAACATTCAAGCTTACATCTATTGCCTTTCACACCTATGAGAGCAGATGAACCATTAAGGTAAAGCTTTTAACTCCCAATTTCTTCTCCTTAAAAAACCCTAAAGAGATATGCACATGCTTCCCCCGCCCTTATTTTTTACAAATAAAATATTTACAACACTAGAAAACACCAGTAAGTGAATGGCTCCTTGGTACCTAACACTAGCACAACCAGTTGAAGCGTAGTTACATTAAACTTAATTAACTATCAGGCTTACTCCTAGCATAAAACAGGTTTTATCAACAAGGCATTGCTTAAAAGCAAGCTAACAAACTTGGCCATCCCAATCCATACAAACATATATTTTGACAAGAACACAGGGGAAAAAAGTGACCAAAATATGTATCTATTAGGAAATGGTGTGTAAGTTTCTAGATAGAAAATGAATTTATACATAAATGATCCTAGAAAATGCAATCAAATTTAAGCATCGACTGTACCAAAGATACAAGTAACACTCTACAAGTGGAAGACAAAAACAGAATGCAAGGGAAATAAATTTTATTTGTTGTTACCCTAACATATAACCAGCTTACAGTTATTTGAATGTCACTCATCCAGCTATTAGAAAAACCACACCACTATGTATGAAATAATAACTTTTTCTCCAAAGAAAGCACTTTAATTCTCTTTTGGTTTGAAGTAAAGGATTTCAGAACATTGCAAAACAGCTTCATGAAATATACAGACAAGCATCCCATTGTGCCTTTGACAGCACACCTGACAGAATTGTAATCAAAAGGGAAATTTGGTCAAGCTCAATCTCAACTTTGTCCCTGCGTTTGACAGTTTGCTGCTTTAGAAATAAAGCAATTAACAGCTTTCACGTTACGGATCACACAGATAAATATGAAACCAGGCGACATCTTCATAGGTCTGTACTTCCTGCCTCATAAAACTTATTAAAATCAAATAAAGTCCAACACAAAACCCAGCCAACCACCACTGAACTGCTTACAGATGAAGTTTAAAAGAGGAATGTATCCTTAATCTGCAAATACACAAAAATAAGCCACCTTAAATGTCTTCCTGATTCATATGAAATTCCATTAACTTGTTGAGATGCAAGAGATATTTATAAGCCTTTCCCATGTGAAATAAATTGAATTAAAAATGTAACTTCTCTTTAAATGCATACAAAGCATTTAAGAAAGATTTATGAGACTAAACAGCTCACTATTGGAACAGTGAGATCTCACATCATCATACTTGTGGTAACACTAGCAAAAATAATACCACTGCACAGCTGGGATCCTAACACTAGACAAGGCAGCATTACTCAAGCTCATTTTATATGACAGGTTCTTCAATCTCCAAAGCACTTGAAGTGAGGACCACATAAAACTTCTCACTCCGAGTAATTATTAAAATGCATTGTACAGATCGAGATATTCCCAAGGTAAAGCCCCAAAGTCATGTAGAAAAAGACAGACCTAAAAAGAGTTCAGAAGTTCAACTACCTTGGGTTTTTTTTTTTATGGAATTGTAAACAAGTCAATAAAGGAAATAAACTGTATGCAATGATAATTTATGATACAGAAGTTTCAACCCCCTGCAATCTATGGAGCTGTACTCCATAGCTGATACAAATGCAAGACAACTCAGGATTTAAAAATTTAAAAGGCAAAGAACTACCAAATTCATTTCATGAGACAGAATAAGACAGAGTTTGTTTGGGTTTAACAGATTTCATAACAACTTCTGAAGAATCAGCAAGTCTCTATCTGGTACCTTTCAGGCAAGCAATGGAGACACCAGCATTAGCTGAGGAAGCTCACCTTTCCTTCCACTGATGCACTTGGGCTTCTCTGAGGTAATTTGGTAAAACACCAAATCATATAAAGTACCTCTGGTGATTTCCACGTGGAAATGATCAGAGTTTAGGAAATCTTTCTAACAGTACCAGACCAAAGACACTGATACCAGGAAGCATTTCACACTGGGAACTACTGTTACCAGGATGAACTCCACAATGCTATTACAGTGAAGTGGGTTTTTAAGAGGCCTGAGCATCTGCAGAGTTGTTACAGAACTAAACTAAAAGCTTTCAACTGTACATGTCTGAGCACACACTTTTTCATAGCTTGACATTCTTTGGTCCATCCAAACACTGCAAAGGGAATGCTGATCATTATAAACATGCCACCTCTACAGGCTGAAACTGCCAAATTCAGATTTTAGACCAGCAAGAAAATACACCAGGAGTAAATCAAACTCAGCATCCTAACATCTGATTTTGCAACTTCAGAATGTCCAGATTTTCAACAATTAAGAAAAACAAAAATCAATACAAAGGTTAAGTTTGAACAAAGGAACAAGAGGTGAGGAAAACTGGCTGCAACAAAAAGAGCATTTTTGTATCCAACAACAGAAGTTTCAATATGCATAAATCCTTGAAATAAATTGCTATTAAATATATTTAACATCCAATTCCACAGACAAGACAAAATTTTTATTGAGGCAAATTGTGCTGGCATCTCAAATCTCAGACAAACCAAAAAAACAATGGGGTGAAAGTAAGATTTAAGTACAGTCACACGCTACTTAACACCTTCTGTCAAACATGGCTCAAAATCCCTTTTCTCTTTCAGCTATTTTTGACAAGTCAATTAACACCCTCATAAATAAATCTGCTCAATGAACTGATCTTCCACAGCTAGCATGGACACATGCTGGGTATCCCACTCATTTAGTTGTACACATCAGAACTTCCTGCACACTGCTCTACACTTCAGAACACCAACAACTCAATCTCTCTGCAGAACCCAGGACACATACTGATCTTATGGAAAAAATACAGCCTTTTACTGCAAGCACATACAAGAACTGTTCTGCACATGAGCATTTCATGTTCCTTTCTTCATATACTGGGAGAGGAACTGGCTTCTGACAAAGTGGATCAGCTTGGTCTCTGTGCAGAACATAGTAACGATGGTTGCGGCAAAGCACAGAGCGCCCATGCCGATGTGAATCAGCCTTGCCATCCAACCCTTATCGCAGCAGAAGAACACCTACAACAGAGGAAAGAAGCAATTGCAGGAAAAGCTAGTCAGCACAAGGTAGACTTACTGTATCAATAAAAAAAAAATCAGATCCAACACTTCTCTTGACTGTGCTAACATCAACCTTGAAGCTGAGCACGGTTTTGCCACATGCACTGATCCTCCAATAAATCACCTTTAGCAGACACAATATTTGCTTTCTTAAGAACTTCCTGTCAGCAAAAAATGAGCATTCAGTAGCTACCTGGTAAATGTGGACATTAGCTATTACCTGGCCTGCAGAAATATGTTAATTTAGGTATTAGGAAAACTCTGCTAGTGCTGTCACAAAAGTCTGTCACTTTGCAGCAACGCATTGGGCTATTTTCTAGGAAAACTGGAAATCTCCCATTCCAAAATACAAAGCTCTCCTTTCTAAGGCAGAATGGTCACATTTTTTGTACACTGCAATGCTACCATCTCCCTAATAATTAGTCTGTGCAATTACCATCTCTGACTGAATGTGATAAATGTGCTCTTTGCAATTACTGTTTCTGTTCTTGTTTCGGTTGCTTTTCCTCTACCGCTTTGTTATTACAGAATGTTTAATAACAGTTTGTGCTACTGCAAAACTTCAGTTATTAAGAACTATGCACATGGATTTATCTACAGACAGCAGAAGCGTGTTACATTTTATTGTACTTGTCAGATACACCTTCTACAGGTGGCAGAGAGAACTTTGTATCAAAGGTAAAATGTCTTTATATTGTATCTTGCCTTGCCTGTAACGAAATCTTCCAGTCTATCCTCATAAGCATGAGGTATTTCTTTGCTAATGGTATTTCTCTGCCTGGGGTCACAAAGGTCATTCAACATTCATTTTCACAGTGAAAGCAAAATTCAAGAAAGATGCTTACCTCTGAGACACCAGTGATCACTCCACTTATGATATAAACGAGCACCAAAAATGGGGAGGGAAGCAAGCCCATCAGAGGTCTGTAAGTGCTTTCTTTGAAGTAATCATAGATATAGTGGATGCTGTGAGCTATTCGGATACCCATGTTAAAGCAGTTGGCAAGAATAAAGCCCACACTGCCATGCCAGTGAGTCAAGAAGTAAGAGATGCACAGAAATGTGAAAGACAAGGCCAGCATAACAAAATTGTACCTGGGAAGAGGGGGGAAAGAACCAGTTTATCAATGTGTACAGTTACAATACTGATTTATGAACTTTATCTTTGAAGAAATACCACAACTTATTTTCTGAAACAAGGAACTGAAATTCTCTTCCCATTTTCTAATGCAAAAAGATAAATTTGAGAACCAAGCTGTTAATTAAAAAAATTCACTGAAAGAATGGAAAATACATCAAACACATTAAATAAAGAAGTGAATTATGTGAAGGAAATTCTGGTTTACTAATCAGCTGTGTACTCATTTCATAAAGTCAAATTTAGTAACAGTGATTAGTCACATAAAAACTTGTGCACTTTTGCTATTTTATTTCAGGTATGCATTGAAGAAAATTCGTGTTCAACAAGATGACACTTTATGTAGTTTCTGCTCCAAACAGTGGCTCTGGAACAAATTCACACCTCAAAAAGGCCATGAAAGCAGCACTGCTAAGTCTAAAAAGATACTACTTAGACTGTGGAAAGCAGACCTCACTGAAAGTAATTTGAAAAGCCTTGTTAAGGGACAGGCACTCCATAAGCAATAAAAGCTTTATGGAAAGCTCTGAGAAGGCCACCAGGCTCCAAAGTCAGTAACCAGGAGGAAGAGAATAAGGAAATAATCTGGGCTTGAAGGGTTCTAAGGAGATTGTCTAGTTCAACCTCCTACTGAAAGCAGATAAACCACTGAATTCAGACCCTCAACTGAGAGAATTCAGAAGACTACCTGATACACAGGACCTGTATATGAGAACTTCTAACAGCTGCAAAATTTTGCTGAGTTTTAACGGATGGCCTGTCTTAAAAACTGTAACTTCAAGCCTGTATCTACAGAAAACAAGACTTTTAAATTGCTTTCCCAGTTAGTGATGTACCAAAAGCTAATCTCAAAATCTGCTCCTTAATTTCTGACCTTTTTACCCAAGCATTTACACTGTTGCTAAAGCTTCTACATCTAAGTCTAAGCAGATAGCTAAATGGTTTTCAGTGGAGCAAAGTATTTTTATGCTGGTTTCAAAGGCACCAATCTCTCTGTAAATTCAGTACAAATGAATTTTTAAGATTGATGTTTATCAACAAATACAAGCATGTAAAAACCTCAAGTAGGGCATGTTCGGTTGCCTATCTATTGCACCTGGCTCTGGAGACAAGGAACAGAGCTTGAAGCTTAAACACAGTCACTTCTTAAAGTGACTGCAGAAAGAAATTTGCTCTTTGGAAACAAAGCACTTCCAAGCACATCACCCCCCAGAACTGCTGTTTACACACTGAACTCCAAGCAGATTAATTACAAGAACATTCTGGGGACACTCCTACCTGTCCACCTCTTCTTTACACATCAAAGCAAACGTAAAACATTCCGTTACTCCATTGACAGCAAGAAATAGGACATATAATGAGTAACATCGGAGGAGATTTGGACCTAAGAAACACATTAGAATAATAAGTAAATACTACTTCTTTTATAAAACCACATTGTTTTTACACTCATCGATACTAAGAGATAAAAGCTGCAATGTTATCACTGAAAATGGAAATGTGAATGCATTTCAACAAGTTTCCTGTCTGGGTATTTTGACAAGAAGACAAAAAAACAAATAAGACAGCAAACACACAAGAATAGCAGTTATGACAGTAACAGAAAAGATATCCATCCAAAAAAGGATTTTATTAAGAGGGATTTCCAAATTAAAAAATATTTATCATAACCCAAATCCTGCATTGTACAGAAATTGGTGGAAATTCATCCCAGTCATTCTGAGCTAATAAAAGCAATACAAAGTGTGCTTTGAACATAACAGTATGAAAAACAGCAAAGCTGTTCAATACATTCAAAATTGTGTTAGATGGAGAAAGTTTTTCATATTTTTATGGGTCAAAAATAATTTATGCATGATTTAAAAATCACCCATTCAGACCTTCAACTTTTTCTTGTACTAACACTGGGGAAAAAAATCCTATGCTTTTTAACAGGTTAGCATGCATCCATGAATACTCCCTTCTTCATGGCAGCAATGTAGTTCGTATTACTAAGACTCCTCCTGTTTCAAAGAACAACTGCCCAAACTGTGAATACTCTGGTTCCAATTTGCTGTATGGGTTTCTGGGGGGTCCGTCATTGTTGGTTTAAACAGCTGGGAGTTAGCAATTTTACATCATGGAGCAGTCAAATAATCCTTTGAAATGTTCTTTTATAACAGTATGAAACTGCAGGAAGGTAGAGCCCCAAACCTGATCCTACTTATTTGGAGCTCCTCAGTATATTTTAGTTTAATGTGACTACATATTAAAGGGACTGCTACAAAGGCATGAGTTCTGGATTCAGACAAGCCAAGTCACCGATTTCAACAGGAGTTTTACAGACAAAAAACTCTTATTGACTCAAGAAATCATAATAGCAGCAGTTTTTAAAAGTGCAGGGCTCTTCTGCCAGCTCTATAAATCCTTACCGGTTCCAGAACTGAGCATTGAACCTCCATAAATATCCAGAGCCAGCTGAGAATAGGCATAGCCAAAAACCGTGATGGTAAGGCCAGTCAGAAGCACAAGTTTTAACAGTGATTCTAATACATTTGCAGCCATAGCAACATCGTCCTGAAAAAAATTGTGGATCAGAATGAACATCATCAGTTACTTTCACACAGAAGATCTACTTCACAGGAAAAATTAAAACCAAACCAAACCTGAATAGTCTGCATTGTATATAAAGGTGTGAAACTTACCCTTTGTTACTGAATTACCCATACATGTAGCCTTAACCGTATTTATTATTCTATTCTAGGTTTTACAGGTTACATATTTACACAAGTATTAGCCTTTAACATGCATGCTCAAGGAAACAGAACTTGCAGATGCTTAACAGTTAGTAAATGGCAAAGAGCAGCACAGCACCTGCCCAAGGTCTGAGCCAGCAGAGGGTCAGATTTTCATTGCCACACGAGACTACAGGATTCGCCACACCAGAACAAGTAACTTGTCAGTTCTACTACATCATTACAAGAAGCATCCTTGTAGTCCTTGTAATTTCACTACATAGAAGAAAAACTCATCATAATTTTGCCAGTTACACATACCTGGTGCACTATGTATAAAAAATACGTATGTGTACACTTCTCTTAGCCCACCAATGCCCTGTAGCATGGAATTTGTTTTAGCTGCATGCTGATGTGCAAGAAACAAGATTCCTGCAAAAACTTGTCATAGCATCAGACAAAAGCCCAGGCTGACCTTTACAACTGATGAAGAATTTCACACCTAAAGCATACACAAAAAATATTCTGTGGAACAAAGCTCTTGTTCATTTAACCATTGATATCCCACATACAATTCAAAAGCTCAAGAAAAAGACAATTATTTTCTTTCCAAAACTGCACCCTCTGGAAGCATTACTGTTTAATACTGAACAGCTACTTATGTTTTCAAGTAAATATTTTCAGACAGCATTTATTTAATAGAAATAGGCAATTATTTTAAACCATGAAAGCAGGCTAAGTATATCTAGAAATGCAGGGTACAATAGGGTTTATATCACACCCTTTGGAGCAGCTGATGTTAACATCATTGATAGTACAAGGCAGTACTATGCCACTGCATACCTTAATTTCCATTTCATTACCATTTTACCTATTTTCTTGGGTTTTTGGTCCAGCCTCACTCAACAGTTTTCAATTTTAACAGCCTTTATACCCAAATTTAAACATAGTTCTGTCAGTCACATTTCTGTGATGTAACTTACCAGTAACAAAAATCAAGCACTTAACACGTAGCTAATCCGAAATTAAACATACCTTCTTCTGATCCTTTACATTCTTCCCTCTTTCTAGCACTTTGGCAAAAAAGACATAAAAACTCTCCTCAATAGGCAAAAAGATAAACCTGGCCACCAGTGAACCAAGATTATTCACAATATCATAGACACCTTTGAAAAAACAAACAAAAAAACCAATATAGCAGCAACCTGTGATATTTTCAGACACATTTTAATTCCAAGTCTTTAACAGCAACATGAATTCTAATTTACCATTTCCACAGAACAAAGAGAAAATGAGTGGAATTTTGCACAGCAGTAAAGCAGTGTTCCCTAAAAATTCTGTCACAGCAACCACAGCTCAAAATGACAAGGTTTGCTCAGAGATGGTGAAGCTGGGACAAAAGCATCAGCCACAGAAATGTGAATCTACTAACAGCATCAAGCCACATTTCAAATTCTTACTCTAGAGGAAGTTAAGAGAACTTGATGAATTTCACTGAATGAGAACAGAAACGCAAGGATTTACTGATACAGGAGAAGAGAAAGGTATCTAGTTTTAGGGTGAGGTTCCTTCGGTTTACTTTCACTCCAGTGGAAGAGCAAGCCTGCATGACATTTTCCCAGCACTTCCATCCTCAGCAAAACATCACTACAAACCTGCTAAGACATCTACGTGTGTGCATATACACACACAGTCCAGAGCATATAAAGTCAGGCATACGGGTAAGTGCTTCACATATTCACAGCAAAATAATAGAGTATGGTTCTGCCTGATTTCTGACAGGACTTGGACCAATGCTCCTCAACATTCTGAGAGCACAGGCACTTTGTACGCATTGCTCTTTTAAAACTCCTTCAAGTTAAGAGGCAGCTCAATTGCTCTGCAGGTGAGGAGAATCAGAAGCAGCTACAGTTACTGGTGGCAAGCACATCTACTCAGTATTTACAAGGGAACATACTACTGCCAGCAACTGAAAGTAATCTGAACTAGCCAAGCAACTTCTAACTGTGGGCCAGCAACTACAGCCTATTTTTCTTCCCTGAGCTGCAAAGACTTGAGCTGCTGCCAAATCAGTCATTTGAATGGCTACTGCCATACATTACTCTGTAGCCACACTAATTTCCTTTACAGAACATAATTCAATTTTGAGAGGTGATGCATTCTTGCTGTAACAGCTAACACAGATTCAAGCGGAAGACAGAAAACAGGAAAATAGATTTACAAAAACCAAAGACAGACAACTATAACACAATCAGATACTAATGAAGTTGGGGGGGGGATTATTTGTTTTTGGTGGTGGTGTTTCCAGGGAGTTTTGAGGTTGGTTTTTCTTTTGGGGTTTGTTGGTTTTCTTTTGGGTTCTTTTTTTTTTAAAAACAAGGTACACGGTGTCACACATCCAATTGGAAAGTTCTGTTCCAAAATGAAAATACAGTTTAAATCCAGGATCTTAAATTCTTTTCTATGCCTGTATCAATCATTCTCTGACATGGATCTCAGCATCACAAAGGCTTTGAAATTGTCCCAGATTTTCAAGTTATCTTCAAATACTTTCAGTCATTTTCAGAACCACCTGAAGAGCAGGGACTAAGAAAGCTATGTCACTATTCCACAATGCCATCACACTTACCCTGATCTCCAAAATTTAACACATTCAAAAAAGTCATCACATACCGTTCACCTGCAAGTTCAAAACAAAGAACTTAAGTATTGGGAAACATTTAGGGACTTGTTCTTGTTCTGGCACTTCCAATAGTAAGTATTCAAGAGACAAAGTCTAACAGGACAGCACCTAGTTCAGAAAATCCTCAAAAACGTCATTCAGGTTGGTAACATCGGGCAACGACCTCTGAAAGTTACATGCCCACTCCCACTGCTCCCCCCCCAGCTTTCTCAAGCTTTATATCACTTTGATACTGTTCACTAGCCCTTCTCCACCGCAACTATAGATCAAGCCTCACCCTCTGTCAAAATCTGTTTCAAGAAGGACTGTTTGAAGAAACTCCAAGTCAACCGTGCTTCCTTCCAGTTAACAAAGGTCTGCAAAAAAAGTACTGAAATCAAACAGGCACTGAAATGAAAAAGTACCGAAACATGATTGAAACTAGAGTGAAACAGAAAACAGAAAGCCAGTACAACACTGGAGGCTAACTCTGACTGTACTGAGGGGCAAAAATCCACAATGTCAGTTGCTAACAACTGATCTAAGATATTGCTAAATTCAAGCACCAACATCACTCTGATTCACAAACACTTTGTCCCTTGCTGGAACTCACTGCTCTGCAGATAAACTACCCAAACATGTTTTCTAAAGAAAATACCAATCAAAGTTGAGAGACAGGAAAAAAAACCAAACCCACATGCATGCCAATACAACTTTCACCTTCATCATAGATATCATTTATTGCTCTTCAAACTGTCCCTACAAGTCCTGCAATCAAGAAGCCCCTTTCTCTTTCCAATCTGTAAATCTTTTTCAAACGTCATCTTCCATTCCTTTGTATCGTTTTCTTTTCAGAGATATCTGAGTATCTGTAGGATGCTGTGTAACACCATGGGTTTTTTGTGGAAAAGTCAATGTACCAAACCCCATGGTAAACTGATTCTGGTTTCCACCCTGCCTCTGATCCAGTGTGATACCTGGTCATTCTCCCACACGCTGATCAGTTTTTATCTCCACTTAATGGTTCATGCAAAGCTACTAAAAGAGAAGTCAGCCACAAGCCCATAAGCACAAAGAGGTGAAGTTTTCTAACTTTTTCTGACAAGAATTTTACGAATACAAACTATAAACAGAATTATGTTTTGGTTTGTTTTTTTTTCTTTCTTTATCAGTCTTATCTTCTACAGTGCAGGGATATCCCTCAAATCACTCAACTCCACCATCTCCAACTAATTTTCAAAGCTCTCTCAAGACAGACCTCAAACTGTGCAACCTACCTCATCTTCCACCATATTGGGCAATAAAGCTTTCATTCTAGCAACTGGAAATGACTTCTTTGTTGCTTCAGGAGATCCCAAAAACATCACAAAATAAATAACGTAGCACAGTACCAGCACACTGGTATATAAAAGCTGGAAAGACGGGGGGGAAAGAAGAAAGATTAATATAAAATTAACTTACAAATGTAGAATTACAGGCTAGAATTACATATTAAGAGTTCTGAATTCAGTGAGAAAAAAAAATGTATTAAGTAGTCCTTATTCCTGTCAACATCAAATTACATATAGACTTAAATTTAACTCTTCTCAAGAATGTTGTTGATCTTTGTTTCTTTTTTTTTCTTAATTTATAGGTTACTGTAGTCCTTTAATAACTTCCATGTTCTATTCAGCATTTTTAGAATGATTATTTAAAGTCCAATTCAAAGCAATTATTAATCAAAAAATCAAGTTGATAGAGTAGCTACTGTCTACATCTCTTACTTCAGAGAATCACAGCATCTTTTAGGTTAGAAAGGACCTTGAAGATTATTGAGTCCAACCATTAACCCAACACTGAAAAACAAAACACAGGAAACTTACCTGAGCCAAGGAAAAAATGTAGAGGCCCCATTGAGGATAAAGGACTACTAAAATAACCGTCAAAATGCATTTTGACACTACTGAAAGGCTTTCAGCAATTACCTTTAAGAAAGAAAAGAGAGAAGGGTTATTTTCTGCCAAGTTAACCACACACACAAACTTAAATTACATTAGTTTCACACACAGGAATTATGCAGGAATACGTAGGAAGACTTTCAAAGTCAGCATCACTTTGTCACAGTTTCTGCTGAGTCGACCATCTGAGATTGCAATTCTGTGTAAATTTTCTGTTCTTGCATTTCACAATTCCTCCATTGCAGTTTCCCAGTCCTTTGTATGGGACATAGGGCAGAAAATTTTGCTTGAGACAAACATGTTCTCAATTGCTGTATTTCACAATTTCATATCAACAATCAATTGAAATGTGAAATCATGGAAGATGCATGCCTCTCCCTCGGATTAAAACTCATAATTAAGTATTTGATGATCACTAAGGTGATAGTTTCTAAATAAATCAACTTCCTTGCTTTAACATCTACAAATTTATACCTGTTACAACTGTTACACAGTACTAAACAGTATGCACAGGATTTTTTTTTCATATGCTTGAATACATGAAGATCTAGCTCAGCAATCCCTTCTTTTCAATAGAGAAAGATAATTACAAACACACACGTATACCCCACGTACTTTACTAACCTTAAGTCTCACAAACAAATGAGCTTGTGCTAAAACCCAGAATGGCTCTCCCAGAAGTTCAATAATTGCAGAAAGACCAAATGCTACTACACCAGCCTGATAATGAGGAACCACAGAAGGATCAGGTACTTCGAGCAAGTGTAGCCAGACTAAGCCCAAGCAAACCGACCAAAAAACACCAAGAGGGACTCTAAAAAGTTAACATAAAAACAAATCAATAGAAATGTTACTTTAGCAGGAAAAATAAAGAAAAAAGAAAATTAGATTACACTGTCACATATGGCCATCATTTTTTTAAAAGGCCCAGAGGAATAAATTTCCATTGTTACTATACCAAGAACACCTTTTTTTCCTGTGTGTTACAAACATCTTTAAGGCACTGTTTGCAAGACACAGAAAATACTTTTCTGACTTGTCTCTTTTCTACTCAAGAGCCTAACATAAGGTCACCTATCTGCATTTCTCATTCCCTAGGACCAAACAATTCTGATCCCTTATCAGCCTGCAAAACCCTGCATTTTTGTGGTCTCTGGTTACCAGGGGTTTGGCAGACAAGCTTTCTTGGATCTTGCTGTAACAGATAAAGGTGCCACCATTCCAACTGCTTGCAACACTCTTCCAGAAATCACTGGTTCTCCAGAAAGTGACAGCAGCATGATAAGAAAATGCACACCTGCACCTCAGGAATGCAAGTCCACCATGATCGACTGTAGCTCAGATCCACTTCCACTAGTGAGTGTAGCTGAAAAGCCAAGCTAGGCACAGGAGTGCATGCATGTATCAGCTTCCGCTGACACTGCTTCAGGAAGCTTTGTTGACAAAGCTTCTGGCAGAGTGCAGGATGTTTGACATCACTGAGGCAGGATCTATTTGACCTTCCCATTATCAGATCCCTGAAGTATTTGACATCAAGCTCCTAAGAGGTATTTCAGATCCTTCAAGAAAGTTAAATCTCCATTTTAAGTTATGCTTCTCTACAAGGAAAAGTTTAAAAAGGTGCACACAGGCATTAACTCCACTATGTAATACCCACCTGAAAGGCTGTCAAACGTCAAGAAACTGATTATAATGCAACTGAGAGAACAGATCCAACACACTGAAAACATCAGTATTAAACCATCCCTGAAAGCGACACTGATGTTGCCCTGCCATTAAACTGTACCAGTGCTCAACAGTATCTCCAGGGTAAGTGACAGAACAGCTCCTGGTAACAGCTTGGGTGATGCACCTTCCCATGTGCTCCAAAAGAGATTAAGTACATAAATGCTAAATCTACAGACTTTACCAGCTTCCTGCATCAGTCCTGAAACATGACTGAGGCTGCTAGACACTCAGTGCTGAAGTAATCACCTCAGTAAAGAAATACTTGCTCTCGATTTTGTGAGCTTTCAGACAAGAACTAAATTCCAAAGTAGCAAATTTTTAAAGGTATCTTACGTCAGCCACAACAGGTTAATTGTTTTGGTCCAGTTTCTCTTTGTACTTGCACTCAGACAAGCTCTGCGAAACGCCTCCCTTGCCAGGAAGACAACCGTTGAATACAGCAAAGTGAGCCTAATGTAGGGGAGAGAGAAAAACAAGGAGAGAAAACGATTTCTTTACATACTGCTTCTGACATCCTCCATGCAGCAACATCACTGTTTGCACAGGCCTGCCTAACAAACAAATGGGTGTGCAAGAGAACATGGTGACATAAATTATCACCATACCATAAAAAAATAAGGAGGGGAAGTAGTTACACCGCTTTTCCTCATCAAGTTAATGATTTAACATGGAAAACAGGCAGCAGTGCCTGTGTTTGAGGTGAAAAAAGAAGTCGAGAGGCAGTCAACGATCTAACAGCGCAAAACACCCAACGGTAAATTAAACAGCGCTGTGCAAATCATTGTAAGCCACCCTGCCCAGGCGGCCCTGCACGAACGCTGTCCGAGGCCCCCCCTCGCTGCCTGCGAAGCCGCCCGGTGCGGTGGGCATGGGGGGGACACAGGCCCCCCGCTCACCTCACGTTGACAACACCGATCAGCTCCCTGGAGAGGTAGCGCAGAGTGAAGGCGTTGAGCGCGAACGTGACCGCCCGGAACAGCACCTGTGCAGAAAACCACACGGGAAACACCTGAGGGCAGAGCGGGACCGAGGCGGCCGCTGCCTCGCACCCACCAGGAGGAGGAGGAAGAGGAAGGTGCCCCCGGTCCCTCGCGCACCTGCAGCAGCGCGCTGGAGGATGCCAGCCGCGTGGTCTGCCCGAGCACCTCCTGCGAGCCCATCGGTCCCGCCCGCATCAAACGGCGACGCCGTCGCTCCGCGAACGCGTCAGGGCGGCCGGGACCGCCCCAAGTCCGGGCGGAAAACGGGCACCGGGCGGGGAATGCGTCCTCAACCCGGCTGCTGCCGGGGTAACCGCGGGAGCGCGCCCGCTGCAGTAACGCTTCCGGCAAGAACGGGGCGCTTCCAGAGAACCGGCCGCGCCGCGCTGCTCAGGTGCTGCTCCGGGTTGCTCAGGTGCTGCTCCGGGCTGCTCAGGTCCTGCTCCGCACGGGGTTACTCCGCTGAAAGCAGCCGAAATCTGCACAGCGGCTCATGAGAAGGGACACCGCATTCATGGCACTGCCTGACAAACGCTGTTTTCCGGAGGTTCTGAAAAAGGAATGTCCATGCGAGTTCCACTAATTCCTTCCTCAACTGAGGACAAGCCCACCAGTCTTAGAATCATAGAATAGTTAGGGTTGGAACGGACCTTAACATCATCTAGCTCCAACCCCCCTGCCATGGGCAGGGACACAAGTTTTACGGGTCGGCTCGGCAAGGCACGGGATAAAACAAGGAACCGGGGCACCGAGGAGCTGCAATACAGGGATGCAGCAGGGACCGTGCCCCCTTCCCATCCCTCCCGCCGGAGGCACTCGTGCTCCCCGCTGCCGCTCAGTGTCCCGGTCTCCAAGGGCAAGAGGAGCCCATGCCCTGGCTGCTGGGTACCAGCACCCAGCAGAGCCCGGCGCTCCTCTGAGCAACTCCCGGAACCATCGCAGCAGCATTCCTGGGAAAGGATTTTGTATTTAGGCTTAGCCGTCTTGAGCCCACTTTAGCACAGCCCAGCCTCCTTTAGCCCAGTTCACATCTGTCCAGACCACTTTAGCACAGTTAAGCCCAATTTAGCCCACTCTAGGTTAGCCCAACGCAGCCCAGCCCAGTACACTTCATCCCAGTTTAGCCCTTCCCGGCCCAACGTAGCACACTTTAGACCACCTCAGTCCAGCCTATCCCAGCCAAATTCAGCCCAATCCAGCCCAGCCCAGCCCAGAGAAGTTTAGCCCAATTAGGCCCAGTTTAGCACAGTGCAGCTGGGTTTAGCTCAGCGCAGCTCAGCCAGGCTCTGTTTAGCCAATTCAAGCCCAGTTCAGCCCAGCCCAACAAAATTTAGTCCAATTTAGCCCAGTCCATGCCCATTTAGACAAGTTCAGATCTGTTCAGCCCACTTTAGGCAACTTTAGCCCAGTTTGGCCCAGATAAGACCAGTTCAGCCCACTCCAGGCAAGTTGAGCCCAGTTTAGCTCAGTTCGGCCCAGTTCAGCCCACTTTGGCCCAATTCAGCCAAGTGGGCTAAACTGGGCTAAACAGTGCTGAACTGGGCTGGAGAGGGACGAACTGGTCTCATCTAGGCTAAACTGGGCTGTAGGGGCTGTAGTGGGCTGAACTGGGCCAAACTGGGCTGGACAGATCTGAACTTGTCTAAATGAGCTGGACTGGGCAGAACTGGGTTAAAGTGAGCTGGGTGTTGCTTGGGTGGGCTCAAGTGGGCTGGACTGGGCTGAAGTGGGGTAAAGTGATCTAAACGGGGCTGAATTAGGCTAAACTGGTCTGAACTGGGCTAAACTTTGCTGAATGGGCTACACTTGTCTGGGCTAAAATGGGCTAAAATGAGCTGGGTAGGTCTGGGAAGTTCTAAACTTGGCTGTGCTGAGATGGACTGGCCTGGGCTGGGCTAAAATGAGATGGATTGGTCTGGGAAGTTCTAAACTGGGCTGAAGTTGCCAAACTGGGCAGAACTGGCCTGGAGTTGGCTGAACTGGGCTGGAGAGGGCCAGGCTGGGCTGAAGTGGGCTAAACTGGGCCAAACTGGGCTATAGTGGGCTGAACTGGGCTGGACAGATCTGAACTTGTCTAAATGGGCCTGGACTGGGCTGGATAGGATTAAAGTTTGCTTGGCTGGGCTTCACTGGGCTGAACTGGACCAAACTGGGCTGAACTGGGTGGAGTGGGCTGAACTGGGACAAACTTGGCTGGACTGGTCTGAATTGGGCCAAACTAGGTTTAACTGGGCTAAAGGAGGCTGGGCTGGGCTATATTGGGCTGGAAAAAGCTAAACTGTGCTGAATTGGCTAAATTTGTCTGGGCTAAGATGGACTTGGCTGGGATGGGCTAAAATGAGCTATGTTGGTCAAGGAAGGGCTAAACTGGGCTGGAGTTGGCTGAACTGGGCCAAACTAGTCTGAATTGGGCTAAACTGGGCTAAAGGAGGCTGGGCTGTGCTATACTGGGCTGGACAAGGGTAAACTGTGCTGAACTGGGCTAGATGGAACTGGGATGGGCTGAACTTGGCTAAACCAGGCTAAACAGGGTGGAAAGGCTCTGAAGAGGGCTAAAGTGGTCTGAACTGGGTTAAACTGAGCTGGGCTTTGCTTGAGTGAGCTAAAGTGGGCTGCACTGGTCTGAACTGGGATAAACTGTGTTAAAGTGGCCGAAATGGGGCTGAGGTAGGCTAAAGTGGTCTGAACTGGGCTAAACAGTGCTGAATTGTCTAAACTTATCTGGGCTAAGATGGACTGGGCTGGGCTGGGGTAAAATGAGCTGGGTTGGTCTGGGAAATGCTAAACCGGGCTGAAGTGGGCCAAACCGGGTTAAACTGGTCCAAACTGGGCTGAACCGGGCCAAACTGGGCTGGAGTGGGCCAATCTGGGCTGGAGTGGGCTAAAGTGGGCTGAACAGGGCTGGACAGATCTGAACTTGTCTAAATGGGCCCAGACCAGGCTGAATAGGACAAAAGTTTGCTGGGCTGGGCTGAAGTGAGCTGAACTATACCACACTGGGCTGGACTGTTCTGAATTGGGTCAAACTGGGCTTAACTGGGCTAAAGGAGGCTGGGCTGTACTATACTGGGCTGGACAAGGCTAAACTGTGCTGAACCAGGGTAGATCGAGCTGGGCTGGACTGAACTTGTCTAAACTAGGCTAAACAGGGTTGAAATGCTCTGAAGAGGGCTAAAGTGGTCTGAACTGCATTGAACTGAGCTGGGCTTTGCTTGGGTGGACTAAAGTGGGCTGGACTGGTCTGAAGTGGGGTAAACTGGGTTAAAGTGGCCTAAACGTGGCTGAACTATGCTAAACTGGTCTGAATGGGGCTAAACTGTGCTGAATTGGCTAAACTTGGCTGAGCTAAAATGAGCTGGGTTGTCCTGGGAAGGGCTAAACTGAGCTGGAGGGGGCTGAATCCCACTAAACTGGGCTGAAGTGGTCTAAACTGGGTTCAACAGGACTAAGCTGTGCTGGAGTGGTCTGAATTGGGCTAAACGCTGCTGAACTGTGCTAAATTGGTCTGGAGAGGTCTGAATTGGGCTAAAGTGGGCTGGGCTGTTCTTGGCTGGGCTTAGTTGAGCTGGACTGGGGTAAAGTGGGCTGGACAGGTCTGAACTGGGCTAAAATGCAATGGATTGAGCTAAACCGTTTTTAGCTGGGCTTAATTGCACTGGAGTGGTTTAAACTGGTCTGAACTGGTCTGAATTGGGCCAATCTAGGCTTCACGGAGCTAAAGGAGGCTGGGCTGGGCTAAACTGGGCTGGAGAAGGCTAAACTGTGCTGAAGTGGGCTAAATCGGGCTGGGCTGGGTTGGGCTTGGCTGAACATGGCTAAACTGGGTTGGAGTGGTCTGAAGAGGGCTAAAGTGGTCGAACTGGGTTAAACTACATGTAATGCTACAGTTGAACTAAAACATCACATCTAACAGCTCTTCACAAGACCAGGCAGAGAGTATCTGAGCCCTACTTGATTAGGATCTTAAGAGAAGCTGGGTAACCAACCAAAATTCTTCAAGCCCATGCAGAGAACCCATCCCAACATCAATTTTGTTCTCTACATGAACCCCCCCTCCTCCTTTGAGGCATCACTTACTTGTTTCTGTGTTCAAAGTGTTTCAGATTTCTTCCTCTGGTCATTTTTTCTGATAACACTATTTAAGGAATCTGGAAGTGGTGTATAGATGTGGTTTATATGGCAGAGGACTATATCTGTAAAAACCTAACAAAAAGAGATTATTATCCCATTGTTAATATGGGGAGATGGGGACAGAAAGAAAAAAAAGACTCATCTGTGTCTGGCAACAGCAGAGACAAGAAAAGATCACAGATGTGGGGCTGCAGAAAGCTATTCTAGCTAGAGAGGATGCAACATTGTCACTTCCCCTTTCTTACAGGCAGTTTTCCAGTTCTCAATTGGAAAAGGCAATTAAAAATGTCCTAACTCAGACTTTGGGCTTTTCTTAGTGGCAGTACTGGTGACAGCAGCCATCAAAAAGCTTTTAGTATGTTATAGCTTGTGCTGATGTCAATAGGTGCACTTGAACTCTGGGGATTAAAACACATCACCTATTACCAGATAAGATGAATAGGAAAACAAAAATGCAGGAGCATAAAGCATACAGCATCTACCAACACTCCAGTGAGGATTCATATTATTCACTCTACACACATACAAATATTTTCATTACAAAAGAAGGGAACTTCAATGAATGAAACAGGGAAAAACAGTGTGCTAACTGACCTTTCCAAGCATCTGCCATGGCCAATAGTAAATGATAGCTAGTGATGTTTTGTTAGACACTTTGGCTTGTCACCTCGTAAAGCTGAAACAGAAACAGCTGCAAAGCATGGGGAGGTGGAAAAAGTAGAGAAAAAACTGTAACTTCAACTGGTTTTAATAGGAACCAGCTTCGCCACTTCCACCCTTCTGGTATTAACGCCTCTAAGCCACTAGATGGCAAACCTCCCGTACGCAGACGGGCTAAAAACGTTGCGGCTGCTCAGCCCGGAGAAGAGAAACTGCGTGGAGACCTTACAGCAGCCTCCCAGTATCTGAAGGGGGGGCCTACAATGATGTTGGAGAAGGACTCTTCATCAGGGACTGTAGCGGTAGGACAAGGAGGAACGGGTTTAAGCTTAAATAAGGGAAGTTCAGGTTAGATACAAGGAAGCAACTCTTTACTGTGAGGGTGCTGAGGCACTGGAACAGGCTGTCCAAAGAAGTGGGGAATGCTCCATCCCTGGCAGCGTTCCTGCCCATGGCAGGGAGGTTGGAACTAGATGGTCTTAAGATCCTTTCCAACCCAAACTATTCTATGATAATCCTAAATAAGAAGTTATCTTGTGTGTTGCTTCTTTACTTTCTAAAATATTAAATGCCTTCCTTTATTGTTCATGTCAGATATATGCAACTTGAACTATCATGACAAGTACTGTTTATGGGGGGTAGCACATCTCAAATTCTAACCTATAAACCTGAATTACAAACATGTTAATGAGAAGGTACTAAGGCAAAACATGTACATATTTTCTCCTTCCTATGCATTCTGTAAAATACTTCACAGTTTGTATTTGCTGCTGCAGGTCTGGTCTCAACTAATGCATTACTTGTGAAAATACAGAAGGGTTTTGGTTTGGGAGCATAATAGCCATAAAAAAGATACAGAAACAGATTTTGCAGCCATGAGCACTCACACTTGAAAAATCTCTACTAGCTAGTTTTTGGTATCTCTGCACTACAAAATCATGCCATGAGCTCCAGCCTACTTCCCCTGAGGGAAAACGTATTCAAAAGATACGGAGTTGCAGAAAGCCCACAAAAGAGACTTGTACTTGCTATGCAAACACATATGTTCACAAACACTATTTGTTTTAATAGACAGAAATAAGGCTCTGTTCATTAAAACAGTTTAGAGCTGCTGAATACTCATGAGAAATGATCCTCTTGCGTTTTAAAATTCAATAAGAAGCGTTATTAAACTTGCTTTGACCTCAGCATGACACATTTCTGCATGAAATTGCCTTAAGACTTTTAAAATCAACAGTGACAATAACTCAGTGAAGATGGTAAAACACACACAGTGGAAGGACTCAGCTGGCAAGAGCTGGATTCTGGGAAGCACTGAATACAAGACATTCCTGTAAAATATTCCAGTTTCCTTTTCTTGAGTCACTTGGAGACTTACTTTTGAAGTAGATGGAGACATGCAAGAGTTATACTTAACAACCAAGAGGATCTCTGACACAAAATGGAGTGGTTTTGCTACTTTAAGTAATTCAGCACCTGTAAGGAAAAGAATCATCTAATGGAATGCTTTAAAATGGTGGGAATATAGAATTTGTGAGTCACCATATAGTGCTTTCAAATTACATTTGTGCAACATTATATAATATTGTGCATGATCATGTCTTGAACAGAATTAATTATGAATCAGTATCTCTTCATGTCATTCATTTCCATCTCCCCTGAGAGCTGACTTCCATTCTTCATTGAAATAATCCCTCTGAGCAAGACAGTCATTAGTCTGCCAAATTGATAGAATAAAATATTCCCCCCTTTATGGGACCTCCTTTAGCACTCATGACAGTTACAGCTAAGTGAAATACATCTTTTGGATTCCTCTTATTCCTTAGGGCCAAGCAAGGAATCTCTCTAATAAAAGAGTCCCAGCATATGTTTACCCATTCAGTTTCAGAATCTCCCCCACTATCCTTCAACAGCTGAACTTCACTTTCAGTACAAAGCCCTGAAATCCAATTAGAAAAAAACTCACTAGCAATACAGGAATACCACTGTCCAGCAGACTTCTCTCAACTACAGATAAGGCAAAAGGAGAGCTCCAAAAAGGCCTATTTATCTTTCAGTGGGAGGTCACCTAAGAGCAACTTTTCAATATAGGGGGATAATATTGAGAGTCAAAATGATCTCTGCCTCTAATCCAGATGTCCATACAGTCAAGCTACTGAGCCTCCATTTGAACTAAAAACATGACTTGACCGCAAGTCCTTCTGTTCAGACCAAAGTACAATTATCATCTCCTCAAAGAGGTCCAAGGTTATCAGACAACTCACCTTGACAAGTCCTACTGTTCTCAGCTCAGTAGGAACAAGACTCTACTCTCCAGGTTTAGCTCCACTGCCATCCTAGCTGGATGGAACAAACAAACATAGGATGGCTTAGGCCTAAGGACACCAGCTGTCCCCAGACACCACAGTTCTGGTGATGGACAAATAGATAAGTGAGATTAGTCATCACATGAGATACCTTTCTGCAAGTCTTCAAACACAAGATATTGTGCCATGCTAACAACATTAGGGGATTGCCTCAACCTTGTCCCTTAAGACTGTAAAGTAAAACTCACCTCTTGCTTCTCTGCTAAATAAGCTGTTGTTTTATTTCTTCTTAAAGACAAACCTTTTTCCAGCTTTGCCAATCAGTCTGTGCTTGTGTGCTGAGCAGCCAAGTAGAAAAAAATACTTCCCTTTGTTCAGCCAAGTTGCAACTGTATCACAGTTGAACCATGATGGGTCAACACATACCTGTAACTTGAAAATAAAGAGAAATTAACATCCACTCTCACTATGATTTGTTTGAGCAGGTCACTGCTTGGTTTTGGGTTTCTTTTAAGCAACAGGTATATTGAGCTAAATTCACAATTGGAATAAGCTACCTAAATATACCAGCAGCAACCAGCTATTGCCTCAAGCATTCTTGCTTCTTGCCTCCCTGTGCAGATGCATGCTTTAGCTGCAGAGGGTAAGAATTTGCCTACTACAACAGAAGATGCTGTCATCCATTACTGCATTCCTGACCACATCTCCATCCTGGTGAAAAGAATGGTTGCAGTACTGCCAAGACACTTGGGGATAAATTATTAGGCAGCTTCCTCAAATATGGGAGGTATGGCTTTAACTCTGTGAGGGAGAAAGGTGCTCTACACACATTCAGTGGGCTCTGCTTCCTCCGAGGACCACATGAGCAGCTTGACGCTGGTATCTTTATATTTGCTATACTTCCTATGTTCCTAAGAATTTATGTTATGAAAAGAGCTGTCTATCCTACTAGATATTCCATTTTACCAAAAAGTCAGCATCTCTACCACGAGTCATGGTTTGGCTTCTTGCCCAGTTGAAAGATGTTGAAAACAGTCAACTCTATAGCCCATAAAAGAGCAAACATAACCCAATAAAAAACCAAAAGTAAGCCTTCCCAGGTTTATATAAGATGAAAATTCTTGAGAAAATCTTTTGCCCTTACCATTACTATTACCTTTATTTGCTGTTCTGCCCCTTACAGGTCATGGCTCACAGCACAGTTCTTCCATCAGCAGATTTCAAAAGCACTGTGCACTCCACTATGCATTTTTTACATCTCCAATCCCCACGTCCATCCTGCCTAAACTTAAATTGAAAATTCTTTTCTTAGAAACCAATAATATCAGAGGCTCATTGAAAGAGATGTCACAGGAGTCATTTAAGGTTTTCATGTATGGCAGAATACTCCCACTCACATCCTGAAGAATGTGGGGAGGTTCAAACAAAAGGATCTAACCACATGTCAGACTAAACCAGCAATGCATATCATCTCCTACCCACACCATGCTTCTAAAGCTTCATGTCTGTTATGAAAGAAGTCTCTTTCCATCTGCACGCAACACTCACTATTTCATGTTACCGGTCTTGCTGAGAGTTCAGTAGAAAAAGCAAGAAATTGTTAGTGGCAAAGCATTAGTGGCAAACTAACTCTTGAAATCCTTTTCTTCACAGACACAGAGAGCACCTTGCAGTGTTCCTATAGAAACATTCAGGAATACGTGTTCCTCTTGACTATTCCATTGACACTGTATCCTCAGACTCTGACTTCAATCAATTCATCCTCTCTCAGATAGTAAATTGTACTGGGTTTCGTTCTGCGGTATTGTTGACAATGTTTTCGAGGCTTACTGCAGCCTGGGAAAGTGTTAGGCAGGAAACTATGTATGAAGTTAGCCATATTTTGTTACTGTCATTCCGGCAGTTTTCCAGATCTTTATGTCACTAATTGCATGTGATTACTGACAAAAAGAAGAGAGCTCTTCTAACCATGATACTAAACAATGCCATTAATTCCATTCTACACATACAGAATACATAATTTGCAACAAATCCGGCCCAAACTCTGAGGTGCCTTGGTAATCCATAATGACAGAAAGTGAACAATCCTTTTTCATTATGTACTCACATATTTTTCATCATCTATTGGAATTAGCTCTTGTCCTTGCATATTCATTTTTCCAACATCCTTTTAAGTTATTCAAAAGAACATTTACATTAGCAGGATGAAACCTGTGGAATCTGATTTAAAGAAATGGGCAGTTTTAAAAGAACTTTATATTTTTATATCCCCCTGCCCAGCAAGGACTCTCTGCTTTTTAGAGACCATCATCAGTTGGACTCCCCGTTGCAAGCTTCTATAATTGCTTCTCTGTCCGAATAAAACTTTGCTTTAAAGTGCCATTTACTGGTTTTCTTCCTTAATATGACATAACACTTTCTTTCCTGTACCAAAAGAAGTGGAGCAGTTTGGGGGTGTTACAGGCCACTAAAACTGAAATCTGCACTGGTGGAATTCCTTCTGAATAGTTATAAGTGAATTTGGCAGTGGCAAACTGCCGAAGTGGTGAACACTCTTCAAAACCTCTGATTTTGTTCTAAGCATATTACTAAAATCACAGGTTGTTTCCTGCTTTTTGTGTAGATAACAAATACATGAAGGTTCATGGCAGGGAGGAATCAGAATCACATCTCTTGCTTTTTCACAATCCAGACTTACCTTCAGTCACTTTTCATTTTTGAGACACAATCTTGCATCATCAAAATCTTGCTCCATCATTAATTTAAAGGCAATTCCTTTTGATCACCTTAATAAAGTAGAAGCATATAAGGAGGTTGCAGCTGGGTAATGCACTGGAAGACACAAAAGCTCAAAATTCAGCTAAGGAAACAGCAAGCTCGCTCTTTGCTAATACCATCATCTCTGCTTTTGTCCTACAAATGCTAACATGGTAAGAACCACAGCTGTGCAAAAACCAAGCTCTCTGTTAACAGTGGGACACAGGCTGCTTGGGCATGGCTGCTCTTCCGCTGGTAAAGTGCTCTTTGCTATATGCTTCTTGTTTCAAAACTGAAAAGGAGATACTTCCCAACATACAGTAAAACAAAAGGAGAATAAAGTAACTTCAAAAGTGACTGTGGAAGGGACAACAGAAGAATGCTCAATACTTCAAGACCTTTCTTTCTCCTTTTGCAATACAATGAAAACAAATGAGACTTACAGCATCACTCATTTTTAAGACTGATGATTCTATATTTAGAAAAGAAGTCAGACACTGGATTTCACAACCATATGTGGAAAACATTAAAGGGAAAACTGGATGGGATTGCCAAGGCACTATGGGGCCAAGAATTGCTATTTTTTTAAACCCACCCTGAAACACCAGTGTAAGGTGGGAATGTTTCACACAGCTCTCCTCTGTAACTGTCACTAACAATATGCAAAACCTGGCAGCACTGTGCTGCTCCAGAGGCTGAATTATGCTGGCAGCACCAGAACTAGATGGACAATTTTGGGACAGTTTCCAGTGTAACTGCCCAATCTCTGCCGGTTTGTGATGAAATAGGAAGTTTCAGTAAAAATTCCAGTGTAATTTTTGAGATGAATAGACAGTAGGTGGAAGAGCAAGGCTTCCCAGCCTTCCCTTGGAAGTGCATGAGAGGATTTTTACCATCAATAAGCAGTGCATGTCAGCCAGAATACTGCTGTAAACAGTAGAAAATTTGTGACTATATTGTTAACGTAGATAAAAATGAATGGCCTGAACATGCATTGTTACCACTTTCTTCTGAATATGTGCAGCAAGAATAGCAAAAAAAGTCTTGCTAAGAGCCCTCAAAATATTACTTATTAGTTCCTTCCTTTTTGAGGGAAGATTACACCCAGTAAAAATTTGTCCAACTTAAAAAGCCAAACATTCTTTTTTTGAGCCCATCCAGTTCTGCCAAAAGGCATATGGTCATGTTGGCACTTACTCTGTGCAATCCTTTGCACATTCAGAGGATCACATCAACATTGATTAATTGTCAGAATGCTCATATGAGACAAGCAAATAGAAATCTGACAGCCAGATGCCACAAACAGCACTGTATTCAATCAGATCATTTTATTGCCATTGCTTTTCCCCCATATTTTCAGCCTCTATAGCACAACCTCAGTTGCATATTCTCAAGAGGCACACAATACAGTACACATCTACATCACTAATACAAGTTGCAAAGTAAATGAATTGTGGGAGGTGGGGGGAATGGAGCTGACCATTCCGCTGTAAGATTAAAAAACATTTTGGGATTTTTATTAGAAAACTAGGCCATACAATTCTTAAACTTCCTTTTCATGACAGAGTTTCTCAGGTACTTTGTCCTTCACAAGACAATATCTGCCTTCAGGGAAAACAGTATGTCCACTGTTCAAGCATTACAACTTGGAAGGGCAGAGGAGCAAATACAGCACACTTAACTAAGTGAAACTACAAACTGCATTTAGACTGAAATAATGCAAAGAGCCTAAGAGTGAACATCCTCCTCCTCTTAAAAAAAAAATGGCATAGAGACTTTAAGAGCCACAGCTTGTCAGCATCTTCCTTTTCGTCATTGGAAGAGCATGCTGGCTCCTTAAAAGGATGTCTACATGATGCTTCCATTCTCTAAGGCAAAATATGAAAGGGGTCAAATGACTCATTATGGATCAAGACCTCACAGGACCCACTAATGCTGCATCCCCAGGCAGAGCGAGCACATGTAGAACTTACAATACTCCCATGGGAAGATACATACTGAAGGAACCAAGGGGAAATTGGGAAACAGACTGAAACCTGCCATGCTGGGAAACAGACTGAACAAGCTTACACTCTGAAAGGATGCAATATATGGCTTGAGTTTACAGTTTTGCCCTTGCAATCATAAGTTGTCCAGAACTGAAAGCAGTTCTGGTAGTAAGTCATACTCCCACTACCTGGAATGAAGGTGGTTGTTTCTTCAAACACCTTTGAAGAAATGTGGAACAAATCTGCACATGGCAGGACACCAACAGAGATTTCACAACTAATACCTTTATATTCTTCTCAAAATTAGCCAGGACAGCCATGTTTCAAAGATGACAGCTGTCTTGGCTGACTTTTAGACAAGCTACCCATGCAGTGACTCTTTAACTCTTTTCTGTCACATTATACAACTGCAAGCATTTACTTAAGACACATCAGTACAGGATGTACTCCAAATTAGTCCCTACATCACATGTTAATGACTTCTGAAGGCACTGGCTTTAAGAGATTACATAGTGTGCTCCTACACCTACATAAATGTGGCATTTATCTGGGTACTGGCTATTGTTCTAGACTGTGCTGGTTGCCAGCTGTTGTTCTGGGAGTCAGATAATGTAAATAATTAGCAGGCAGCACATTCTTCCAGCTGCCAATGCTGTAACAATTTCTCAGATGTTATCCCAGAATTAGGTTTAGTACTGATTATTAAGCACTTGATAATAATGTGTGGTAAAAGACAACTGTAACAGAATGAACAGTGTACAGGAAGAGCTCATTTTTTATCTCACTGGCTTTCTGCCTCCCTTTTCATCAAATTCTTCAGGAGTGGTAACAGTAGATTCAAAAGCAAATTTTTTGCATGCAGACAGTACTTTCTTAGCCCTCCTTCCTGCATTTCCATCACATCTCTGTTAATAGTGGTATGTTTTCATTAGTGATGGGGCATCGGCAGCTACTGCCACAAGCTGAGTCACATTCAGGTGTGCACTGCTATTCAGAAACAGATGTTTCCCTCTTACAGCTAACCACATGGGTTAGCAGTTCTACACAAAACCTGTCCACATCCGGCTGGGCAAACCACAGAGAGTCATCAGTACACTCACATCCACTCCCTCCCTGTACACAGGGCATTTTAGGAGCCACCATGTATTTTAGAGGTGCAATCCACTGCGGTTTGATTTTTATGCTTCATTCTCAGAACCAGTGGACCCCTCCCTGAGGTTCTGTGAGCCCTGAGAGCTGCAGAAAGGTCTGCTGTCACTGCTCAGGATGGAATACAAGTTATTTTAGCCCTTGCAAGAGCCAATGACTTCATGTAAGCTTCTGAGTAGAGACAGATACCAGCAAAGCTGCTGGTACTGACATGAACTTACCTTTGTCTGGAAAAACAAGCCTTCTGCAAATGTTTGATGAACCATCAGACACTTTGCGAGGATCTGCACCTCATCATCACTTGTAGAGTGCCCAAGATCTGGCATTAGTGTATCTATGTTAATGAAGACTCAGTGTTTAAGAAAAAGATCAGCTCACAATTAAAGCTATACTTCCAAAATGGGAGTTTAAAATTAGCATGTCTATAGGGTTTTTAAACTGGAGTATAAGTTGTAGTATATATGGACTGGAGAACATCCAATTAATAAAGATACAAAGTTCTTTAAGAAGTTAAAACTGCAGCCTCATATACTGTCTTAAACTTTCTCCAGTCACCCAAGCAATCACATTCACCCTAGTATAGTTGTGGACTTCAACTCGGAAAGCATTAAACGGATTCTAATCCAGTGACATACTATGTTGACTTTGTTGAGAGCATAATTAAGCCCCTGCTACTTGAAGTCTTCACCAAAAACTCTCCAAGTTTCTTTTAGTGTCACTACTGACACACTGACAAAGCCAAAAATATTCATTACTGTGTAGGAGTTAAGTGTTGTGGATATAGCAGATCTTAAGGGCTGAAGGCACTCAGTATTTGGATGCAATTCCTGGAAAAGCGTCAGGAAGCTTATTCATTAACAGTGTTAAATCAGCAAGCACCATAACTTTCCAGTTACACAGTTCTTAAGCTGATTTTTCAGTACCTGCAGAGGCTTCAAATGTCTGGAAAATATATTTTGTAAAACTGAACTACCAACTCTGACTATTAGAAGTTTACCAGATTATGTTCTGCTTGTACAGGAACACTTGCATTGTGTCCTGAGTATCAGTACTATTCCTGCAAAACCGATGTGGACACTGCACTGACCTCTACTCAAGTTCAGCTCTGCAGGGTAATATATAAAAGTACTGTTCTAGGGCAATAGCTTAAAGATGAGGTAACTCATGTCTGAGCTTGACATATTTGATGGTAGCCAAGTCAACAGCCTAAAAACGTTAGCAAGGTACCAGAGCTAAACCCACTTTCCTCTTGGATGACCTCTCATTCCTTGCTGGAACAAACCAGGATGAAAGTGTAGATCTGAGGTCTGAAAGATAGTTCTTTTCTTCAAAAACTCCATTTTTATTCTAATGCCACTACTACGAGGCTGCTGAAGATTATAAAATGTGTAATTACTCCAAAAGAGAAGCTGGGGGATGGCAACAGAATCCTTCAGCATGACTGACATTCTACTGAGGGGTAAAAAAAATAATCCATGTGAAAGAGCTTGTTAGAATATGAGAGCCTATGAACTTGGGAGGTTTATCCAGGCTACAGACTATGCAGCAGCACCTTGCCTTTGTTGCGTTTCCCTGCATAACCCTACAATGTAAAAGTGGCCTTGTAACATGGTTCATTTTAAACTGTGACTGATTAGAAACTTGACTGTGCTGATAATCCAGTTATGTTTGGGGAATTACTGTGTACTGGTTGATTAAATTAAGAGCTGAAGACAGAATTAGGTACCACTTGCCACAGATATATACCCCTGTAGGCTTGTGTACATGTCTCATGGTTTGCTGTAACAGGCTATGCAGCAAAATTCTGAAGAGACAGATGATACAGGCAAGAGCTGTTCAGGTTAATCTGTGAATAGGCACGGCAGGAATGTAAGGGTGAGGTATAATACTCTCTTTGATTACAAAGAGAAACAAACTGGCCTAATAAAAACACATACAAGTCCCATTTTCAAAACACTGTCCCACTTCTGTCACCACTGGAAGAACCAAACCAAGCTGCAACATCAGGACTATTTCTTTTTCTACTGTAACTACACCAAATAAGCTGTGCTTGTTTGTTTGTGTGTGGTATACTTCACCGGCCATAGCTACACTGTCATTGTTTAAGATTACACCAAAACAAAAGCAGTAAAAGGATGTCATTTTGTATGGGACAACCCTTGCACACCATTGGATGTTGCAGTTTTTACAATTAAATAAACGATAGGAACATGCTAGATGGCTTCTCTTAACCCGACTTTCTATCTCACAACAGACGTTGTGACTGCTATGTAAAATTTATAGTGGGAAAATTATATGCATTAATTATTGTCTTTCTTAAAGAAATACGTGTTGGTAGCAGGACAGATATTTGCAGCCAATTTGCTTCACATCACTGTGTATTTTTCAGAGATCTCTCCCAAGTATTTTAAGAGTGATTCAGCAGTAATTCCAAAACAATTCTCATAAATTCTTTACCATGTTTGGACATAGAAACTTCTCCCCCCACCCCCTTTTTTTATTTTGGAGCATGCACTGCAACTTACCAAATGCAAGATTTCTGGTGCAACTTGAAAGCAAACTGTATTCTAGGCTTGCAAATGATCGGTGATTTCAGTTTGGGTTTAGCAGCTCACCAGTCAAGAAGAACTATTACTGGTAGAGAGAAGGCTGCGAGTCAAAACACAAGGCTGGATTCCCAGTAGCATTCAAGACCTGTGAATTCAAGCACTCAGCTACATTTAAGCATTTTATTTTCCATTACATACAAATACTTCACAAGGATAATATAGCAGAGGACAAAATGTACTGCGTGCATATGCAAAGAATAAACTAGTTAATAGTGAAAACTTTTGAGATTTGCTGTGAAATCCTAAGAACCGAGTTATGCTTCTATTCTATTAAACATTCATAAATATGCATGGGGTTGTGTTTTGGGCAAGAATTGTTGCTGAAATGAAAGCTCAGGGCACACAGCTCTTAAATCTTCACTGACGGATGAAGATAAGATACAATTTCTTCTTAGGCAAATTATAAAATGCCTGATTATTAAATTATGAATTAGTGAAATTCTCACATATTTCATCCATTGCTGTTAAGTAGTTTAAGATGACAAAGGTTCTATTTGTAACCAACTTCCAGTCCTGATATTTCTACAAGGTATACAGAAATTGAATAAAGTTAGTTGTATGAAAACTGCATTTTAACAAAGAGTGCATTAGAATTAACAAGGAATAATAATAATAATAATAATAATAATAGAACCCCAACAACTTGTGTTAATAAGTGTCCTGAGAGTAACAAAAAAGTAGACTGTGCATTACTCTGCTTGGTTTTCTGAAAGGAACGCTCCTGCCTATCCACTACTTGGGCAGTGGTATTTTGTCTCGAGATGTATATGGGTTAAATGCCTCGAGCAACATTCTCAAAGGCAAGTTAGTTGCTGTAACCCACACACAATACAGAACAAGCAGAAAATAATACATTTCTTTAAGTTACTGACCTCCAGATCCAGACGGACGCAGTAAATTAACAGATGGCCTAAGGGACCGTAAAAACCAATGAAAGACATAAACCATGTATACTATATTAAATGCCAGACTTCAGGACCAGGCATTGATTTTTATTGTTAAACTGCATTACTACTGCTGCAGCACAAGATTCACTAGAGACTTCTGTATTGATTTTGTCGAACAGCAATCAAGAGTTCAGTTTTTAATGGCATGTAGCTCAAACTGAAGTTCCCACTTACTGCACAAAGGTTTTAATCAATTAAGTCTTCCCATTACATACTCTCATTCACCCTGTATAACTGTCCTGCATAAAAACATAAAAGAATGACAATGTCATTTTGTTATCATTAATACTCCATGAAATTCCCTTTACTCATTAATTTAGTAACATTATAGATCCTCAGTGTGCAAGGCTTCAGAAGCAGTCTAAAAATCCTGTCACAGATTTTCTGCATGACTGCTCATCTTTGCAACTTGGAATTACACAACTGTAATGAAAGACAAATCAAGTATTGGAGAAAATTAATTCCTTCAGTTACACAGCACTCTGACAGTCGACTTGACCTTATTTCATGGGGTCCAATTAAGATTCCTCTGCCATCTGAAGTTTAAATGCCCACTATTGATCACAGCTCCAGCATTGAAGACAATAAACCCTTTCTCCATTACTCCAAATGAAACATCCTTTATCTTTGGCAAACATGATGAAATCACCAAAATAAATCCACCATAAAGCTGAAAAATTACTACCAATTGCAGACTTTGCGGTACATAAACTGTTCAAATTGTGCACGACTACTCCACACGTGGAATTACATGTACAGAAATTCATTCTGGTTTTACATTTGCAATCTCTGCGTGATAACTTTTGATGGAGACAATTTGTTGCGACCATAGAGCAAAGCAATGAAAACCTGAAGCAGTACTCATACACTTGCTGAGTCCACTGCAAAAGCAGGGACAGATATAAAGTATAATTATGTGGAGGGTTAGATTTTGAGGAGACAAATAATTAAGAATTCCAGCTGATAATATGAAACAGAGGGAACTAATAAAATCCATTGGTGTGAAAAACAAGATACAGAGTGGTTGAAATATAAACAAGATATGAGCTTATTCCTCACAAATGAAGCAAAATAGAATAAATCATGACATATTTGAAATGTTAAAATGAAGGAAAAAAAAAACAACTAATTAAGACTTGCAGGCAATAAATGACCATTGTAAGCTTATGAATTGACAGCACAGTCTGAAAGGATTCAGATACATAACTAAATGACAGGCAGTGCTGCAACAGGAAAGTAGCTCCCTTGATACAAAGCACAAAGTATGAAAATTAGCCAGCTGGGTTAGGTGTAAATAGCTTTTCACACCTTCCTAGTAAAAGGGCAATTGGGATCACTTCATAAAAATAGCTGCTGATAGAAACCAGCTAGTGGACTCTCTGGTTAGTGCTCAGATTAGCTCCTCTGAATGTTAACATATAGATGTGACTTTGATTGTGAAAAATGCAAAAATTACTGCTGGGTAAACCAAAAAAAAAATGAAATATGACAAGAAAAGAAGAAAATTGGAACAAATAACCACCAAAGAAAAAAAAAAAGGGGTCTTGACCCTTAAGTCTGCAACCTCTGAAGAACTAGAAATGTGAACAACAAAGAGCAAGGAGCTTCCTGAAAAACTAAGTGATAAACCATTTCTGATGCTGAGCAACCTAGGAAAAGAACTAAAGCAGATGTAATACATTCGCTGTTTAAAAATTCAACCTGTTTTCCAACACTGTTGAAACTGTTCAACTCTTCCACTGAGAAGAATGCTCTGTGCAATGTATGTCATGAAGCACTCTACGAAGTGATGAAGTTTCTGATAAGAAGTGATAATTGGCCACAGTACCAAGGCAAACTCTGATGTTGTGTGTTAACTCCCAGAACTGATCACTTCCCTGAGTTTGAAGTTTTAACAGAAGACACATTCAGCTGTGTTACTGTGCTGAAATTACTGTCCATGGAGTCCAAGTTAAGCAGGAAGATTACCAGAAAGTGACGATAGTTAAACTGACACAAAGATGAAAATAATCATTCTGCTCACACCTCAAGAGGACTGAGTGGCAACTACATGCTTCATTTACAGTGTGGCAGTATCTTCTGGAGGCAAACTGAGCTGCCTACCAGTGAAGGGCTACAGAGACTACACATTCCAATGTTTCAGTGAGAGGAGCTTTTCCATGCAAGCCATCAAGACAGGCACCAGAACTGGTCAGGTGCAGCAGTCCAGAATTCAGCAGAGGCCAACAGGTTTTAAAGGGTAAGAAGCATTACTAACATGAGCAGACATTGTTGCCACACATCAATGTTCATTAGAAATGTACTTAGGAAGTGCAACGCTTTCAGTTTTGTAATCCCCATCAGCATGAGCTGGATTTCTGTGATGTCTTGCAAACTGAGCTGCGCGTGGTCCTGCCCGTGTTTCCTATTTTAAATCACTCAAACAAACATGAGACCCTATGCACCTCAAGCACAGGGAGCCAAGTGACTATTTTAAGGAGAAAACCAACACCATAGGTCCATCAGGTTATTCAACAGCAATAAATGTTTCTCTACGTAATGAAACATGAACATTATACTAGCCACACAAGACTGCCATACCCATTTTGTGCCACTAAGCAACACATAAAGGAAATGCAACCCAATATATGAAGGCAATGATCAAAACTAACCTGAAAGTACCAGGGGAAAACCAAGCTGCACATAATCCTTCAAACTTCATAGAAGAGTGGTATGCTCTTAAAAGAATTTAATTAAACAAACAGGTTTTGGCAAACAATGAAGTATGATACGTTCACAAAACATGGGTAAGAGCTGTACAACCAATAGGACTAAAAGGAAAGCAACACTGCCTTTTAAAAGATTTAACTGCTCATACCATCAGCAAGAAAAAGCCATCAAAATTTGGCTGCTCTTCCAGATGCATTCCACTTCCTTTCATCTTGAATGAGTTCTCCTCAGGCTCCCATGAAAAAGCAGCTTTTTATTGGACAGGAATAAAACAAATAAACTGTGAAGCTAATATAACATGCAGCTCCTTTTAAAATCTCAAAATAAGACCTATTCCTTTCCTCCACCCACCAAACCTTGCCAGACAAGAGCTACGTAATACTGGGTAGTAGCAAGGCAGGAGAATGAGCTTTTGTGGGAAGAACAAGATTGCTCTTACTTTCAGAACCGTATTTCAGGCTGCCTTTACAAAAACGAGGGGATGATAAAAAAAAAACAGTCAGCTTCTTGAAGCCAGATTAATGGACACTGAAAGGTCAGTCTGGAGACTCTGTGCCTGAGTCATAAGCAAACCAAGACTCCACTATCCTTTATGTTCTGTATCACAGCAAGGAAATTATCCGTGCTGTATATGGAAAATCAGTCGCTCTGTTATTGTATACAACTGTGGCTTATAAATGAAAAATTAGATGCAGGATGCACAAGATCTGTGTGATTCTACTACAAACAGTACTTTATATTAAAACAAACTTCATAAAACAGCATTCATAATCTCCATAAAACAGACCCAAAATCCTAATCTATGTGATCCCCCCAAACCTCACATCTTTTCTGGAGTTGCTCCTGTTCCTTTCTTTGTTCTTATTAAGATTATTCCCTATTGTACTGGAATTCATTTACAGTTCTAAATAGTGTTTCTTCCTGTATTCTTTTCTGTGAACGAAGGCCACATACTCAGCATTATTTGCTACTTTCCTCTACTCTCTGCAGAGACTTCAGGCATTCACTTCCACAAAAGGACAAGATGTTATTCTTGATGCCTTTGTTTCTCCAAAACAGCAGCAACAACAAACACACTATCCACATCACCAGAGATGTGGCAGGCACCTCTGAGAAAAAAAAAAACCAAAAAACTAACAAAAAGCAAGGATTAGATATTCTTTACCTTTGGGCTAGGAAAAGAAGTGCCAAAAGCATCCCTGACACAATAAGCTACAGTTTCAGATGTTGCTATGCCTCCATTTGATTACAGAACGTAGAAGAGAGCGCTTCATCACCACTGATATTTATTTCCAATCGTGGGAGTGAAATGACAACTGACACCCAGTGGGAAATGAAGCACAAAGACTTTAATTGCCCACCTGTGCTCATACCTAGATCATGCTAAAAATGCTGAAGGACATGTCAGCCTTGTCTGCATTCCAGTTGTAATCCCAAAATCCTGCAGACAGCAAGGACAAGCTTGCTGAGAAATGAATTTAGCCAAGTCAAATGTCTTTCCAAGCATGAATCGAGCCATATGGTTTTCCACGTAACACATCTATAGCTAAATTTTCACCTGACATACTTAAGACTCAAAGGAATAAATACATGCATTTTCTCACTGAAGTGCCTGAGGATTCTATCATTATTAGTAATATTATTGTTCGGAACAAAAAACCGTTACCTTCTTATATACACCTCTGTGAACTAATTTCTAAACTAAGAAAGAAAAACCTGATTCAGAGCTCAGGCTCCCCATGAAGTATTGCCTGTAAAGGACCATCACTAGACTGCCTGATCTGTGTATGGCACAGCAAGATTCTGGACTTCGTCACTTGCTGTTGAGGATCTTTTTCCATCAGGCACCTTAAGGCTCTGCAATCTGTGCAGAGCACTAACAAATCACAATGCTCCTTGTTTAAATCAGAGTGTTATCTTAGACCTATTTTGCCCTTGCTTTACATACATGTAAGTGACAATAAAGTGTGTATCACCTGAAAATAAGATCCTTAAGTCAGTTGTGGAAATAGAGTTAGGAAGGAAGAACTGCTGTAAAACATTAGGAAGGAATGATACTAGGGGCCTTTTTTGCTTTCAAGAAGTAAGAAAGATATTGGGAAGGAAAGAAAACAAGAGTCAGGTAGAAAAGCAATGCTGAGAGCACTCAACAATAAGGAGCAGGTATTGGATACACACTGTATTTCATACCAAAGGAGTACGTAAAGCTACATTTGCTCTATAAAGAGCATAAAACCAAATAAGAGATGTGGATCTATCTAAACAGACATCATTAAGACAGATGCTGGAAAAAAAATCAAAATATGTAAAGTCAGTATTAATGTATAACACACATTCAATCTCACCTATCTCATTACCAAGATTTGTAGCAGGTGATTTGGTGAAGACTGAAGCAAGAGTACTTCACATTTACTAATCTCAGTTGCAGACCTCAAGCATTCTTCTCCCATAATCATGTTTGCTGTGGGAGGATGTGGGGGCTGTAATTGTCCCACTGAGGGCTTCTGACAGATGATCATATTTCAGATAGCTGAGCCTGTGAGTCTGTAAAATTTACTTTGACTTACTACATTAAAAGTAAAACAAAGCACTCGGAACACTGGCAAAAAATATGAAAATGTCTGCTCCTAAAAAGATGCTCTACAAAATGGGTTTTTTTTACCTTATTCATGTAATTTTAAAGATTCCAAATAAATACAGCGAATCTTACAAAAGTCTGGGATGCAGGGAGTCAGCTGCTATGAAAATGAAGCTGAAAAGTTTCAAACGCTCATACTATACACCATACATAAAAGTGAGGCATACATTCACAGAATCTAGGCCTCCATTTTAAAGGCTGTTTTCTCTTAACAGAGACTACTGTTACAGTATTGAAACCAAGCAGCTCTGGATGCAAATTCATACCAGTCTGTACAGTTACCCATACACACTTTGAAGTTATTGCTTTGTTCACACTGTTTGGAAGAGCATCAGGTAACTGTTTGATGATGTTACATATGTTGGACATATGTGCTCCAAATTAAATCCGTACAAAAAGAGCAAACAACTTTTTTAGATTAAACTTCGAAAGAGGAAATGAAGCTGCATTCTTGGCCTTCTGCAATATAAGACTTGTCCTTTTGGAAGGAAAACTTGTCCTTTTTGAGCAGTCAGTTAGCTCAAGATAATGCCATATGTTCAAAGTCAAAAAACACTTTTTCCCCAAAGGGGCAAGTTAGGACTACTGGTGCTGGAGAAGGAAGAAATACTTGATTCACTGCCAGTGTCTGAACTCTCAGAACATTGCTGATCGCAGCTCTGAGAATCAAGCTCAACACCAGAGCAGCTATTTATTTTTGTTAACTTGTTCATAGTTTTCCAACTTTTCAACTCACATCACCATTAGGAAATTTTAGCCTTCCCATCCTTCACAGTCTGGCTACACCTTTTTCCCCACCAGAAGTGGTATATGAGGGATATTTGTAGCTCTGCCACACATTTGTAACACTCCTTTTGTAGCATTAGCTTGAGTATCTGTATCCACGATTGAGCATACACTTACAACTAATGAATGAGGTTTCTTATTTATAATTCATTAACTCTTTAAAACATTTCAGTCCATAGTTTTCATGGAGTTAGGAATCCCAGATGGAAACCTTTAAACATCTCTAATCTTTCAACCCAATATTGCGAACCATCAAGCTCTTTTTTCATGCAAAACTTCTAGGACCTTCAAATGGCATCATGACATGCTGGTTCTAACCACTGCAAATACTTGAGGGGCATCGAATTGACTGCTGTGCCCAGGTAAGGTGGGAAGAGTTTAGACCACAGCAGTTCAGTAGAATGAATGGTTTTCTAATAATCACACAGCGACAATTCCCTTATCTTTTCCCAGTTGCAATCCTACCCACACAAACACACACACACACACACACACACACACACACTTCTGCTGCTGGCTGCTGAAAGACTGCAAATTTTCATCTGCTGTTCTTTGTGGTACCTTAAAACTCTGAAGACTGGTCTACTTTTAAGAACTGTATAGCTCTAAGTCAGTTAAGAAAGTGACGTCTTTCATCCTATATAAAATATAAATCACCCAGACACTCTAATATTGTAAACAGCACCTAAAACTGGTGGCTGATTTGGATTTGCCATGATTTGCCAACACAGCCTATCAATCTAGCATTTGAGAGCTTACTCCTTGATCAATAAACTCTAGGCATACAGCAGGCAACGCTGGCAAATAGCAGACTGAAATTGCTCCATTCGGGGAGCATATGGTTGGAATTAGCAGCTAATAGTTTCATGTAGAATATAGCACACTTTCATAACCAAAGTAACACACACTCATTTGGAGGAGTGCAGGTACCATTTGTGGAGCACTCAATATTGAAGTTTTTCCTAGTATCATACATAGAACCATCCAGCCTGTATGTTTAACATTAATCCTGCCTATGAACAAACACATATCATGTATTTTCAGTCCTGACTGGCAGCTATACACAAGGCACTGAACTAAAAGCCTAAGACTCTGTCTGACCCACATGGAGGAAACTCTAAATGCTCAGAACAGCTGATTACATTGCACTGTTCTAGAGTTACTCATCCCACCCCATACAGCTTCTGCTTCCAGCTAAAAGCACATTTGTTATTAATTTTTCCAAGACAGCTCCTGGGAGAAAACAAGCCTTTCTTTCTGTTCAGATTTTTAAATAAAACACAACCAAGTAACAGAACCAAGACACACATTTGACAGTGTTTAGATATGACTGAAATTTACGCTTCCTAATTCAGGGCAGGCTAGAAAATCCCTTAAGTGCTATGAAAGAGGTTGCCTGAGCACTATGTACTTTCAAAAGTGCCATCCCTTATTCAATGACACACCATCAAAAATGATGGTGCATTAAATTAGCATATCAGAAAGAAAAAGATGGCAAGAACTGTGGATTAGAATCTATTCTCAATAAAATTCTCAGGGTTTAAATACTCTTGGCAGTGTCACCAGCATTAAAACCCCTTTTATATATCCATAAATGATCATGAGCTTTGAAAGTAAGGAAACAGTACACAGAACTACATTATCTGCTTGCCTGGGCACAAGGATGCTGTTGGCATCTGGGTTTGACCTGAGGTTTGAACAGTGAGAAATCCCTTCAGAATCTCATCTACTTGCTCCTCCACAGCTCCTTTTATAGTTGTTTTAGTGTCCACAAAAACTTACCAGAATCTTAGATTTACTGGTTAAGGAAGTTCTTGAGGACTCTGAAAACAGCCTTCCGTTTCTCCCCCTTTACTGTTTTATAATCTGTACAGATACAGCCACATTCTAGATGTGGCAAAAAGTACTCTTTGAGGCTTAGCAGGCCCCTCACCTGCATCACTGCTTTAAGATGCTGCTTAGAGTTCTGCCTCAGCCCCACAGAAATCCTCCCGCTCCCTTATTATGGGGAGAATGTTAAAGGGGTTTATGATAAACAAGTGTGGGTGGGAGCCTGGGGCTCTCTTTGCTCCCAAGATACAATACAAATACGTAGCCAGCCTCCATGCAAAATTAAAAACATTATTAAAATATTTTTGCAGGCTGCATCTGTTTTCAACACCCACAGCCTTGCTCCTGCCTTGGTACTACTGCCTACCGATGTGAGCCTGTCAGCTTTAGATAGAAACCATTTTAGAGAGGAGGGGCAGTAAGGTTAATGACAGCTAACTTTTATTGTTCAGGTTGCATATGGCCAAAGTTAAGGACTTCTTTTTTGCATAATGGCAAGATCTCTGCATGTACACTCATACACAGTTTTAATAAACGAATAAACTCAGCCTGTGGTAGCAGACAAGTTCATTACTGCAGAACTGCCATGAAAGTGACTCTTCAAAGACCATGCGGCACCTTCAGCAAAAACTACTTGGTTTGCTATTTCTTCCTGATGCTCTTTGACATCTCCAGGAGGGCTGGATGCTTTCTGTGCTAGGGTAACTTTGACATTAAACAGGTCTGAACTTTTAGGTCTGTCCCTGATCCAACTAAAACTTTGAACTGACAAATTTCTGTTGCTCTGCTTCTTAGACATATTCCACTGTTAGTCTAAACATACCAGTCACATTTTCCAGTTGCCCAGGCAGCTGTACAATTATTAGAAAGTTGATTCCAGAACCACTGCACTGAAATTGGTTTTAAGAACTATTAACCTATGTAAATGTACATTGTCAGCTTGGATTCCTCACAGCTGTTGAATATGCTGTATATCTTTTCTAAGCCGTATCGACTGTGTGTGAATAGTCAATCGCTGTGAATTGGGAAAATGCCAAGGGTGCTGTGAAAGCATACAGGACATCAGTGTCATTCTTAAAGTTTTCTACAACTTCTGCTATTTACATAATGAAATTTGAACTTTTTTTCCCCACTGTTAGTATTTACCTAATAATTAAAACTCGTGCTTTCTTAAATGCACTGGCTTGAGAACATGGGAAATAAAAAAAAACATGCAAGTCTTTAGTCCAATAGTCCCTCTCACTAAGAGTTTCTATTAGTGTAGAAACGAAAAAGTTTCAGCAATCTAGACAGTTGCAATTGAACATTGCCTTTGATGTTGTCAGGAACAGTAACACACTTTGAACGTGGGATGAAATGCAAGAGGGGAAAACAGCAAAAGTAGATGCCATCGCTCTAATAAACCATCCAAGTTTACGTCTGCTTCTAGCCACCCTCAATTAAGGAATGGAAAAAACAGTGGATTTCCCCCCACACCATAGATACTTGAGGTTGGCCCTGCTTCACATGGGAGATCAGACTTGATCTCTCTACCAACCTCATCATTCCAGTTCTAATTCTAATCCCCTTAAGCAATGCACTTGAAAATGGCTAGAAACTGCAGGGTAAGAAAGGATTCATATGATTACAGTAAGTTTCTGACAGTAAGAAGTTTATTTGCTTCATGACTTTTCAATTTAATTTTGTTCATTCAGATTCTACTCTAGAAATGGGGTAACAGCAGAAGCCACATTGTGGCATAGCAACTACAGTGCACAGCCAAGTGGGACTGTGCCTCAAGGGGTCATGATGAAATAGAGAACACTAACCTACAAACTAGTCACAAGCTGGAAATACTTGCACCATGAGATGAACCACTGCTTCAAATCCTAGACAAAGTGCCAGAACAAAGACACACTTGCTGAGAAATAGCCTCCTCTGTTCAGGATCACACTGTCAAAGAAAACGGATGTGAGCAAACAGCAAACAAGCGATTGTCAAAGATTATGTGTTCATTTGGGATGTTTTCCCACAATGCTGAAAAACCTAGCTGTGCCAGTGCCCTTTTCTAGAGCCTTTCCTTAAACTCCGAGGTCTTGTCATTCACAAGAAACACCAACACAAATTCAGAAGGACAACTACAGTTAAAAATAGAACAAAACCAGCAGGTAAGAGCAGGTTCATTGTTGCCTGCCTTAACAAAGGAAAACTCACCTGACAGAAATACATTTCTTATTTTCCCGTCCTCCTTACAGCAAGACAAGAAAGCTCATTTTATTCTATTACTCTGGATTTGCACAAGGATAACTAACTCCAGTAACATCACTTCAGTTATTCTGGCATGAACCCAGTATAAGCAAAAGCAAAATTTAGTCTCTTGTTTGTTCTTCAGAAGGCTCCTGACCC